TTTTTTAATCCAAATGGCAATCTGCGAAACTCGTATTTTCCTCCGTTAACGGAAAAGGAAGTTTTTTCACGGTCGCGTTCTGCCAGTGTGATTTGGGGTATCGGTCGGGTATTGTTCTCTCGTTCAGCTTGCGATAGTCCAACACCAAACGCATTTATCGCTTGCCAGTTTCGTCGGTACTGTTTTTATCTACTACCCATATTGGGTTATTGTAGGGGGACTTCGACTTTTGGATTATGCCATTTTTAACAGATCTTGAATTTCGCCATTGACGAAATCGGCTGCTCCCATTGGATATGGGTAAAGTTTGGCATAGATGGGTTCCTCATCAACAGTTCTTATGGTAGCTACCACCGACGCGTTGTGAGGTAGGGCCTCATTAGGGTATGCGAAAGCTTTTTTCCTGTCGCTGAGCATTTTCAAAAATGCTTTTCTGACCAAAGGTGGTGCCTCCGGGCAGTCCACTTCAGTGAAATTGACATTGGGGCATGAGTGAAAATCAATCTTCTCTTCTTCGGTGTATCATTTGAGGCGACCAGAAGCTAGACAAAGTGATGTCCCCGCCTGTTTTAATAGGTCGAGACCGATGATTGCATCAAAAGAGGACAAGTCAGGTAAAATGAAGAATGTGGCATTTAAATTAAAAATTGACACGAAGCATTTCTTCGTGATAGTGGTGACGCTATGAGTGGAATGAAGTTTAAACGGAGTTTCTACCGGGCGGACGCCTTTCAATCCTTCGTATGGTCGGATGAAATTCTTAGCCGCGCCGGTATCGGTGAGAAGTCTCATGTCGATCCCCGCTACTCTTCGTCTGATGAATGGTAGCAGGGATTTTCCCCTAAAATTACCTTTACCGCTGCACTGGAGGCTGCGTCGTCGTATGCCTTGTCAGAAGTATCTGTGCCCTGAGCAATGAGGTTAACGCTTTGCCTCTTGTGAGGGCCTGAGCGTCCAGACGCATCCGTCTTCGCGTTCTGGGCACGGGGCACGGGACGGCTGTAACATTTTGGACAGCGACGGATCCACTTCCATGCGCTCTGGTGTGTTTCCCGGAAGCCTGTCGCTGCGAGGAGCAGTGTGTACTTGCGCCTTGTAGTTTTTAGTAAAATGCGAGTTCTTCCCGGCACCTATTTTAGAATTTGTTTGTGGAGGGGCTTGTTGCCGCTCTTGCGCTTTTGGGAATTGCTTGCGCTCTCTATCCTCTTGGTTCCTTGCAAACGTTGTTGCGAAGATGTATCTCTCATGGTTGGATTCGACTTCCTGCGCCAAGGCGAGAGCTGTCGGCATGACTTTGGGTTTTGCCGAGAAAAGCACATCCATGAGGCTGCGCTTTAGCCCACAATACCTTAGCCATGGCCGCCCCATACGTCTTGTTTGTTAATAAGGTGAGTTTCTTCTCAACCTCATTATAGTACTGTAACAAGGTTAGGCCACCCTGTCTTAGAATGCCTAACTCTTGATCGTTGACATGCATCGGTCGCTTGTCACTGTATGTGAAGTCTAACCGATTTATAATCGCGTCAAAATTCAATACAGTCCCAAACGAAGATAGCACAGCATCAGCGGGACCCCTGACCTTACTCCTAATAATTATGACCGCTTGATAGTGGCGGGAGCTGTCATCATATCGTCTGAAAATGTGGTAAGCGGCTACAGCTGCTTGTCGCCAAGATACGTACGATTCTTGCGTTCCCGCAAATTCGGGCAGACATTTATCGGCATTGCATGTCTTTTATTATACCCGTTACTCGTAGAGTAAAAGGGTATACTAGATTCGTCGGAAAGTATGTAACAGGCAGAAGGAAGCGTTTCCGACCCCATAAAGTATATATATTCTTGATCAGGATCACTAGCCGAGTCGATCTAGCCATGTCCGTCTGTCCGTCTGTCCGTCTGTCCGTATGAACGCTGAGATCTCGGAAACTATGAGAGTTACAATACTGGGATTAGGCACGCAGATTCCTGAGATTCCTGCGCAGCGCAAGTTTGTTTCAGTAGAGTGCCACGCCCACTCTAACGCCCACAAACCGCCCAAAACTGTGGCTCCTACAGTTTTGATGCTAGAATAAAAATTTTAACTGTAATGTAATGTTCTCATCAATACCTATCGATTGACCTAAAAAAAAGTTTGCCACGCCCACTTTAACGCCCACAAACCGCGAAAACCTGTGACGCCCACAATTTTTATGCTAGATAAAAAATTTTAACTGGAATGTATTCGTCTCGTCATTACCTATCGATTGACTCAAAAAAAAGTTTGCCACGCCCACTTTAACGCCCACAAACCGCAAAAACCTGTGACGCCCACAATTTTCATGCTAGATACAAAATTGTAACTGAAATGTATTGGTCTCGTCGATACCTATCGATTGATCCAAAAAAAAATTTGCCACGCCCACTCTAACGCCCATAACGCTTAAATCTGTATACCGCCGGTAGGTGGCGCATTTTAATCTCGCTTTGCTGCTTGCATATCTCCATTTAGCTGAGTAACGGGTATCTGATAGTCGAGGTACTCGACTATAGCGTTCTTCCTTGTTATTTCTATGGCCACATATGTTTTTATCTGAGGGGTCTGGGCTGGAGCTGACGCAGTGCTTACTGCCGGTACTCGCAATTCTTCAATCTGCAGCTTAAGCGCTTGCTCTCTGATCTGGCTTTGGGCGGTCTGTTCTGCAAGGCCATTATTAATGGCGGCCTGTATGACGGTTGGGAGCTGATCGCGATCCATATTAGTAGGGGGTACTGGGGGCTTGGTGTTGAGGTTCGGACCTTCCCTTCACTCTCGGACTCTGAGTCGCTTGAGTATGGTTTCTTGTTCCTATATGTGAGAACCGGAGTACTCATAGGCAGCTGAATTCAACTGCACAGAAATCCGTGCGCGTAAGCAAAAGCGCTACACAAACAAAAACAAAGTCGAAAGGCTCTGGGGGTTGCGGGGGCTGAGTCGCCGCCTCAGCAACGGATGAGAGCTCGTCGAACTGAGCTGTTGCCTTGCCAAGCCGTGACAAGGTGAAGGGGGCGCGGGGACTGAGCCTTCGCTAAGGCAAGCAAAGAAAATAAAAACAAGTTGCCACAAAAAGTAGAGTGGGGGGATAATAAGACAACTAAGACTGCGGGGCTAATGTCAAGAACTCGAGCATAAGCAAAGATACATATAAAAGCTGAATTAAATGCACACAATTAATCGAAGCAATGAGACGGTGTTTTTATTAATTATGATCAGTTAGTATTCAAATCTTGTGCTAGTAATTTATTTTTTAGCTTCGGTTGAGATATTTAACTTCCAAATTTTCTGTAAAGCTGCACCAGAATATTAATTTATTTATTCACAAAAAAGAAAATAATATGCAAACAATACGCAATTATAAATACCTTGAATAGCAAACTGTCACTATTAATTATCTAATGACATATAATTATTATGTAAAAAGTATATTATTATGTAAAAATATATATATAATGCAATATATTAATATCAAGCTGTCAATCAATTAATGAGTGTTAGTTAATTACGATATTAATGTGAAATATTAGTATGAAGCTGCAGAATTTTATTTATAATAATTTTAACAAAACTAATGATTACGCTGGAAGGAAAACTGTCCTTTTCTTGCTGGCCTAGAGACTCAGTCAAGATCAAATCAATTTCATTTTAACGGCAGTTGCCGGAGTTGTTTAGCAGATAACTTCTGTTCTTTATTTTACGAATGCCAAAAGGGAACTGACTTACAGCTAACAAAAACTGAACTTCATAGCGGCCATGCAAATATGCTATGCTTGCCGGCAATGCATGGGCATCCGGCCAGACGCTGTGTCAGCAGTTTGGCCGGAGCGAGCTCTTGGACGATCGGTCATCGCCGTCGCCCGGTTAACTCAGTTAACTACTCCCCCCTCAGGAATGAGGCCGCCCTCGGCCGACCCTATTTGGACAACCATCTCTTTTAACTGGGCCGCAGTTCTTCCGGCCTGGGTGACTCGCCGATAGGTCAAGCCGATGCAGATCAACGCTCATATGCAATATGCATATTGCTCCATATTGTTCACCCTAGTCTGAGAACGGTGACGCTTCCCTAAGCCCACAAGGCCGATCTCTCTGCGGGTCTAAGGCGCAACAAGCGACCCCGAGGCAACGCGTTGGCAAGCAAGCAGAGGCGGCCACTACGAGCGTCCCGAGACCCAGGATCCAGAGGAGGACGAGTCAACGCGTCGAGGAGTCAGAAAGAGGAGCGCCAGCAGCCGGCGGAACCAGAGCCAAGAGATACCGAAGCCAGCCCAGCCACACACCCGCTGTACTAATACCACGAGAATAAATCCCACTATTACCATTTGAACCCTTTGTTTTCTCACTGATCTACGGGCAATCACGTCATATAAATTTGGTGGGACGAACACACAATCTTCTGAGCTAGCCGCACGAATCTCGTAGCGAGCAGACACACAAAATCAGTTCGTTACACTGTCCGTACGAACGCTGAGATTTTGAACACTAAAATAGCTAGAAATTTGGGATTAAGCATGCAGATTAAAGGACTTCTTAATCAGCGCCAGTTTTTTATCAGCTTAGTGACGTGACCACTGTATTTCTTAAATTCTTATATTAATCAATAATCAATAATAAGTGGTGACAATCGCATAGTTTGGCATGGTAGTACCGCTAGGCGCTGAGGCGGAATATAGAAATATCTGATAGTCGAGACACTCGGCTATAACTTTTTTTAGTGTTTTACATTTTTTGTGCAGAAAGAACTAGAGGTGGGCAAAAGTGAAGCCTTGGTTGGGTCGTTGGTATTATTTTTTATTTTTCTAGAATATTTCGTTTGTTTTTGCCTATTGTCGAGAATTCATCACTAGTGTAGGGATGGGACTGCTTCGGTACGAGTTAGCCCGGTAGGGATGCAAAAATGATTTAAAAAGGGTTAGCAAAGTAAAAAATATATTTATTACACAAGCCGCCCGAACTTAGCTTTCCATATATGTTTCTTTAATTTAAACAGAAAATTTGAGGAGGCACTAGAACTGCTTGGCACGCATGGAGGTAGCGTTCCCATTCACTCCGTTGCCAGGTGAGTTACAAATTGTTGTTGTTGATTTGTTTACAAATGTGTGAATTTATATATAGACTATACATTAGTCATTTACTGGCGTTAAAGCAATATGAGGGCGCTGCCAAACTTTGTCTGCGAATGCTGGGAAATAACAAAGTTCTTTGGGAAGAAGAAGTTTTCAAGTTTGTAAAGTGTCAGCAGTTACGCTCTGTTAGTGCTTATCTGCCGACATCCGACGAATGCAAACTCGATCCCCACGTGTACGAGATGGTTTTGTACGAGTTTCTGAAATTCGATGTAAGCGGTTTTCTAAATCTTGTTAAGGAATGGCCGCCTCACCTGTACGACGGCCTGGCTGTTATTAACGCCATTCACGATAACTTTCGGAAGCAACATGCTAGTCAGTTGCTCGAATCCCTGGCTCTTCTATATTCGTATCAGGGTGATTTCGAAAGTGCCCTCCGAATGTATCTAAAGTTAGTATTTAAATCGTTTTAAAGGACCGACTGACAAAATATCAAAAGGTTACAGAACAAGGACGTCTTTCAATTAATACGCCGTTATGAGCTTTACGATGTCATTCCAAAATTAATTATTCCACTAATTCAATTGGATCGTGAACGTGCCTTTGAAATACTACTAGATAAGAACAAGATAAGGACAGAGGTCGTTGTTCATCAGCTGGAGCACAGTCAAGAGTATCTATACTGGGTAAGGGCCTTATGTAACATGTCAGAAATACACTATATTTATACCCGTAATTCGTAGTAAAAGGGTATATTTGGAAATAACGTTATCAGACAGAATAAAGCGTTTCCGATCCTATAAAATATATATTTTCTTAATCAGGATCTTCAGCGAAGTTGGTTTAGCCAAGTCCGTCTGTCTGTCTGTCTGTCTGTATGAACGCTGAGATCAACTGAGTACCACGTCCACTCTAACGTTTATAAATGTCCTTAAACCTAAAAGATTTTATAGAATTTTATATGGGATTTTGTTTTTTTTTCCAATAGCCATCTGCATGAAAAAGTATCTAATCGAACTATTCATTAAAAAGTTATTAGCAAGTGCAGTTTTTACCGCTAGGTGGAGCCAGTTCGCGAAATCGGAAACGGTTGCTTTGCTGCATGCATATTTCCATCCCTTACCCTCCCTTTAGCTGAGAAGCGGGTATCTGATAGTCGGGGCACTCGACTATAGCGTTCTCTTTTGTTTTTTTTCAGTATTTGGACTCTTTGCAAAAAGTGGATGCCTGTAACGCATTTCAAAGTAAACTGGTTTCCTTGTATGCAAAATATGATCGAAACCAACTTTTGCCCTTTCTTATGCGTTCAAAGGAATACGTAATTCTGGAGGCGTTGGCCATATGTAAAAGGGAAGGTTTTTACCCGGAGATTGTCTACTTACTGGGTTGCATGGGCGGAGTGGAAGCGGCCGAAGCTTTAAATATCATTATTCATAGAGTAAGAAAACTTAAAGCGATACGTTATTAACATATATAGCATTTAAATTCCGCAGATCAGTGACATAGAAATGGCAATCGAGTTTTGCAAGGAACACGATGACAACGATCTATGGCATCTGCTTATCAGTGAAACTACCAAACAACCCGAAATTGTGTCCAAAGTCTTGGACGGTATTGTGGGTAAGTAGTATGGTAAAGTATAATGTTTTCTGATTAATATAGAAGTTCTGATTGCTTTAGACTATGTGAACCCCGCGGTGGTCGTTAGTCAAATCGAAATGGGCCGGACTATTCCGAACTTGCGGAAATCGCTTATTAAAATGTTGTGGCACTACAATCTCCAAGAGCAAACAATATCTACCGCCCAAAAGATTCAAGTGAATGACATTTTTGATACCCACTCCGAGGTGGTTACATCGCAAAGACGTGGTCAGCAAGTATCTTGCGAACAACTTTGCCTTTTGTGCCAACGCCCAGTATTAATAAAAAATGCTGTTTATAATTGTATCATCGGATTTAAATGTGGCCATGTCTTCCATAAGTCGTGCATGCTGGGCGTTCCTGCCAACAAACGCTGCAGAGAGTGTAAGCTGTGGGCCCCCGATCTACCTTTGGAAGATTAAGTTAATAATGACTCCATACCTGTTGTCTTATCCTTCTCTGTTAAAAGATTCTGAAGATAAAGAAAAAGCTGAAAAAAGGAAATATCTTAGAGATAAATGATAATCTATGATTAGAATAAATATTATATAGTTATATTTGCGTCATGCTCCCCCAGCCCAAACCACATGAAATAAAATTAATAAAAAATAGTTGCTGAGAACTTGGAGTTTTGATTATAAATGGGTACTTATCACCTATGACTAGTTTAACTGAATAACAATTAAAGCGACTTAAATGGATTCCCAGCGAGACGATTCATTATCTTATTGATGTTGTGTGAAATACGCAGCATATTTGGGATGCGAAGCATCCAAATTATAAAAAATGCGAAAACCACACATTCCAGGAAACTGCCACCGAAAAGGGAACCTCAATTTGCAATCCGCAAACACCATTTTCCAGAGGTAATTTGATACATGTGGAAATGATTTTATAATAACACAGAGACACTTATTGAAACTGTAAAATTTTGAGAAACCATTTCTACTTTTCCATGATATTTGGGTCCTTCTGAAAAACGTTATGTTAAAAATTAACAATTTTTTAAAATTTCTCTAATGGCCCTAACATGCCCTAAAAAATAAATCTTAAATAGAAGTAATTTTTATTTTCCTTGGAACGGTCGTTTTGCTGCACGCATGTTTCCATCTGCTTACCCTCCCTTTGCTGAGAAGCGGGTATCTGATAGTCGGGGAACTCGACTATAGCGTTCTCCTTTGCTTTTTTCAGTATTTGGACTCATTGCAAAAAGTGAATGCCTGTAATGCATTTCAAAGTAAACTGGTTTCCTTGTATGCAAAATATGATCGAAACCAACTTTTGCCCTTTCTTATGCGTTCAATGGAATACGTAATCCTGGAGGCGTTGGGCATATGTAATCGGCAAGGTTTTTACCCGGAGATGGTCTACTTACTGGGTTGATTGGGCGGAGTGGAAGCGGCCGAAGCATTAAATATCATTATTCATAGAGTAAGAAAACTTACAGCGAAACGTTAATAACAAATATAGCATTTAAATTCCGCAGATCAGTGACATAGAAATGGCAATCGAGTTTTGCAAGGAACACTATGCACTATGGCATCTGCTTATCAGTGAAACCACCAAACAACCCGAAATTGTGTCCAAAGTCTTGGCCGGCATTGTGGGTAAGTAGTATGGTAACGTATAATGTTTTCTGATTAATATAGAAGTTCTAATTGCTTTAGACTATGTGAACCCCGCGGTGGTCGTTAGTCAAATTGAAATGGGCCGGACTAATCCGAACTTGCGGAAATCGCGTATTAAAATGTTGTGGCACTACAATCTCCAAGAGCAAACAATATCTACCGCCCAAAAGATTCAAGTGAATGACATTTTTGATACCCACTCCGAGGTGGTTACATCGTAAAGACGTGTGTGTGTGTCTTCACACCTGTTGTCTTATCCTTCTCTGTTAACAGTTTCTGAAGATAAAGGAAAAACTGAAAAAAGGAAATATTTTAGAGATTAATGACAATCTATGATTAGAACAAATATTATATAGTTATATTTGCGTCATGCTCCCCCATCCCAAACCACATGAAATAAATTTTATAACAAATACATATACAAGGGTGGTCAAAAGTATTTTCACAAAAAAAAAAGTTAAATATATTCATAATTTGAACTTACATCTTGTTAACTTTGGCATCATTGGAAAGGTAATTTAAATGCCGTTTGAATGATACAATACATTTCTTAACACATTCAGTACTTATTGAAAAGGACGAATTTGTGTGAAAATGTCCTTTTTGAACTTTTTTCCTCGACTTGAAAACTTAAATTTTTTGATGCAAAAATTTTCTTCAAACAAAAATAATAGTAACTGCAAAAAGAATTTTTCAAAAATCATTTTGCTTCTATTTTTTATGATTTTTTGAAAATGCTTAGAAACATGCATTTTAGGCATATTTTTCTCTTTTTCATACAAATTTTTTCCGACAGTGTCACCTTTAAAAAACCATAAAAAATATAAGCAAAATGATTTTTGAAAAATTCTTTTTGCAGTTACTATTATTTTTGTATGAAGAAACTTTTTGCATCAAAAAATTTAAGTTTTCAAGTCGAGGAAAAAAGTTCAAAAAGGACATTTTCACACAAATTCGTCCTTTTCAATAAGTACTGAATGTGTTAAGAAATGTATTGTATCATTCAAACGGCATTTAAATTACCTTTCCATTGATGCCAAAGTTAACAAGATGTAAGTTCAAATTATGAATATATTTAACTTTTTTTTTGTGAAAATACTTTTGACCACCCTTGTAGGTACATATCACCTATAACTAGTTTAACTGAAAAACAATTAAAGCGACTTAAATGGATTTCCAGCGAGACAATTTATTATCTTATTGATGTTGTGTAAAATACACAGCATATTTGGGATGCGAAGCATCCAAACTATAAAAAAAAAGCAAAAACCACACATTCTGGGAAGCTGCCACCGAAAAGGAAAACTCAGTTTGCAATCCGCAAACACCATTTTCCAAAGGTAATTTGATAAATGTGGAAATGATTTTATAATAACACAGGAACACTAATTGAAACTGCGAAATTTTGAGAAACCATTTCTAATTTTCCATGATAATTGTGAGAAAAGTTATGTTAAAAATTAACTATTTTTTTAAATCTCTCTAATGGCCCTAACAGGCCCTAAAAAATAAATCTTAAATAGAAGTAATTTTTATTTTTCTTGTAATCTGTTTTTTTGGATTAGTTATAGCAATAACAATTTTTTTTTAGTTTTATAATGTGCTCCTATATATTGTCATTTATTTATTTTTTTATTAATTTATTGCTTAAAGTTAAAAACTAAAGCGACAGGGATAGGCAGCCAGAGCTACTTAGGCTTTAGGCTGGCTTAGTTTCAATTTGCTATTCGGTTCTTAATTACTAAGGGCATAATTCATTCATTTTGGTTATCGCTTCTTAATTAACAAAGTACATTTCAGGTGTATTAAAGAACTGTCTTAATTATAAGAGGTTTGATAAATTAGATTTTTTAGGGGAATCGAGAAGTTAAAGGAGGTCGGTGGTCGTAGGATTGGAAAGAAGTGGAGTAAGGTTTCTATTCGGGATGTGGATTAGGTTGTAGTTAAATGCAGTGCATTCGTTAAAGATATGCTCTATTGACATTGAGTTGCAGAACTTACAGAGGTTGTCTGTAGCCTGAACGAGTCTAAATTCATGGGTAAGTCTGGTGTGGCCCAGACGTGATCGTATTATTCGGGTTTGGTCTTTTCTTGTTAGTTTGATGATTTCTTTTGCTTTTGTGTAGTCGCTTATGTTAAGATGGTTGCTGTTTATGAATTGGTACCAACTGGAGGAGTATTGGAAAAGATTGAGGGAGGTGCTATAGAAATGTTTTTTTAACAATGTCGGACGGGTTAATATTATGTGTGGTGATCAGCGGTGCGATAGTTGCGTTTTTTGCGGCGTCGTCAAATTCGTTGCCCTAGTTCCAACATGGCTCGGAACCCACATGTTTTTTATACAACGAATTTTCGTAGGATAACAAGCGGAATTGTCAATGTTTTGAATAGGGTTAATTGCGGAAAGAGAGTCTGAGCAGATGCAGATGTTAGTACGGCCTATCTCGACGGCTTCTAGTATTGCGATAATTTCTGCAGTATAAATTGATGTATAATTTGGAGGAATGGCTCTTTTTAGAACAATGTTCTCTGTGCCATAACATAACCAGTTGTGTCTTGGTTTTGTGAAGCGAAATAAAAGTGTAGTTGGTAAGTTTTGATTTTATGTCGAGAAATTCTTTCCTTTGCCTGGCTGCTCTTTGTTGCTTCTTTATATTGGCTTAAATGTGTGTCTATAGCATCTGATTGCAAGTGCCAAGGTTTTGTGTAGGACCTAGTTTCTGTATTTCACCGTTTTCTTTTTTGTAATTTTATTTATTATTGATTTTACACGGGTATCTGATGATTTCGTTATTGTATTACACAATTTGGCTTGAATATGATTTGTTCTAATGTCTAAGGGTGGTATGTTCGATTTTAAGTGTTAGTTGATGACGGGTGCTGGACGGATTGCTTTGTTGAGAAGGGTTTGGATCGGTTTGATTTGCGATTTTGGAGATAGACCATAAAATGGCAAGCCGTAATCTGTTTTTGACAAACATACCCCTCTGACTATTTGGACTAAGGTCAGTGGCTGGCAGTTGTATTTATCATTTGAGAGGCATTTTATAATTATACCCGTTACTCGTAGAGTAAAAGGGTATACTAGATTCGTCGGAAAGTATGTAACAGGCAGAAGGAAGCGTTTCCGACCCCACAAAGTATATATATTCTTGATCAGGATCACTAGCCGAGTCGATCTAGCCATGTCCGTCTGTCCGTCCGGATGAACGCTGAGATCTCGGAAACTATGGGAGCTAGGCTATTGAGATTTGGCGTGCAGATTCCTGAGCTTCTTACGCAGCGCAAGTTTGTTTCAGCACAGTGCCACGCCCACTCTAACGCCCACAAACCGCCCAAAATTGTGGCTCCTACAGTTTTGATGCTAGAATAACAATTTTAACCGAAATGTATTGTTCTCATCAATACCTATCGATTGACCCACTTTAACGTTGTGTGAAAATTTGTGTGAAAATGTCCTTTTTGAACTTTTTTCCTCGACTTGAAAACTTAAATTTTTTGATGCAAAAATTTTCTTCAAACAAAAATAATAGTAACTGCAAAAAGAATTTTTCAAAAATCATTTTGCTTCTATTTTTTATGATTTTTTGAAAATGCTTAGAAACATGCATTTTAGGCATATTTTTCTCTTTTTCATACAAATTTTTTCCGACAGTGTCACCTTTAAAAAACCATAAAAAATATAAGCAAAATGATTTTTGAAAAATTCTTTTTGCAGTTACTATTATTTTTGTATGAAGAAACTTTTTGCATCAAAAAATTTAAGTTTTCAAGTCGAGGAAAAAAGTTCAAAAAGGACATTTTCACACAAATTCGTCCTTTTCAATAAGTACTGAATGTGTTAAGAAATGTATTGTATCATTCAAACGGCATTTAAATTACCTTTCCATTGATGCCAAAGTTAACAAGATGTAAGTTCAAATTATGAATATATTTAACTTTTTTTTTGTGAAAATACTTTTGACCACCCTTGTAGGTACATA